TATATCACTATATTGCTCCTCACATGTTAATACCAAAGGATCATTCTCCGTTTCTGTAAATATATTAACAAGATATTTTAGATAATGTGTGACCAATAAACTGGTTTTGTGTAACACAGTGTATGTAGGTTGCTTTCCAACAAAAGACACAAGTTGACACAAATATCATTCTATCTTTGTTCCACATTTAGTGAGTAACAAAGATAAGATGATACTTGTATTGATAAGATGACTTGTGTCTCTTGTTGGAAAGCACCTACTGATAAGTGCTCTGATGATTTAATACAATATTACAACATAATACAAAAATTGTAGTTATTTTTCATAATTCAGACCAATGAGACATAAATAATACTTTTATAAAGTCATAAACATTATTGTACACAAGCACTCCAACGAGATGTCAAAACTTATGTTAAAAACAAACTCTTAATAAATTTAATTTTTATTAATTAAAAAATAGTCTCGTAGATGAAGGAAGAGTCTGTGTGTATTAAGAGGTTACATGGTTAATCTGTTAAAGATTTTAAGATTAAGTTGCATAAAAATTTATACTCACCGACGAAAAGGTTATCCAATTTTATTTTGTAAGTTGCAAAACTCATTCGTCTTGTGCAATAAGAAAATGTTCCCCAATGAGAGGATTCTCTCATCAAACAAGACTGATGAGATTCGAAATTTACAAGAAAACATAAGACAACTTTTTCGACAGAAAGTGTACAATAGTAATAGACGTGTAAAACAATAATTTTAGAATTATTTAGTATAAATTATACTTATTAAATAAGAACAAATTATCTGAAATTATAACAATCGTTTCTATATTATTTTATTCACGTGTCACAAAACCATGAGGGAGAAGAATGTAAACCGCATTATTACACGTCACGTTAGATGCGTTCGGGGAGCTTGCTATTAGTGCTACCGTGTCATTCTATCCTTGTTGTATATCTAAGGAGCGATAAAGATAGAACAACGAGATATCGATGGTAGCGTGCTCCCCGGACGCACCCGTTATCTGGATGAATGTTGGTTCAGCCACAATAGACCGCGTAATTCAAAAGTTTAAATCCTTATCCTCTTAAAGAATATCTTAATCAATTTAATCCTGATATAAGAAATATAATATTCAAAATTTATCTACTTGTTTCATCATCAATCTACTTACCGGCTTACAAATTAATTCTGTACAATTAACAATAAGTGGCATATAACAATGCAATGTAACTATGTTAAAATAGTTATATATTGCATATGAAAATTGTAACATTACATCAAAATTACATAAATGTAACATTTCTTGTGTAACATGTTACATCCAAGTTACATTAATGTAATTTTCTTATAACCAGAAAGTAACTAACAATATAACAATTTCATTTACATGTTATATTGCGTTAATAAAATAAAGATATATAACCTCAACATTAATTAAATATAACATTCGTTATATTACGTGTTACTCCTGTATTACGTTGCAGTTACATTTTGTGTTTGCTGGGTAATTTCGATCCTCAGTGGTATCCCCACAAAAACATGCACGTTACACCCACGTGGAATCCACGTGATTTCGTGGATTCCACGTGAACTCTACGTGGATTCGACGTGAATTCGACGTACGTTTTTGTGGGGATACCACCGGTCACCCATCTATGTCCTGACTCCGTTAAGGGACGTCTATATTGGAAGTAAATAGCAAGAAGTAGGAAGTAAGAGTAAGAAATTGACCAACCACAGTCGAATGTGAGAAGAATAATCAACTATGATTGGTCAATTTCTTATTCTTACTTCCTACTTCTTACTTCCAATGTAGACGTCCCTTTAAAGTGTTGCTTAAACCTGTCAATGGAGCGGCATGCGGCGATTCCCAATGACTCCAACGATATTCTTACGATTTGTGTTTATATAATTTATCCTTATAGTGTGTTCACAGTATATTATAACATAAAGTATATACCTAGCAAATATCAAATAATAGTTATATAACTTTTACTTAGTGTTCGTTGGATAATTTACTGATAGATATTGAAACAACGCAACAACATTCGATATGAGATGAATATTGATGTAATGTAGTGATAATTACTTTTATTCTTTTAACAGAATGTTATAATGATTAATCTAAACCAGTGATAATTACTTTTAGATTTTTAACAGAATGTTATAATGATTAATTCAAACCAAAAAATAAAAAATCGAAGAAAATTCAAATTAAACAAATCGAATTACTAAATTTTGAAAAAAAACTTTTATAAAATACTATTTAAAACAATAGTGTTGTTTCATCAAATGATATGATTTCCTTGAAAGAAATAAAAGTTTTTATTTTCATCATTTCAAAAAATGATATTTCATTTAAGAATATAATATCTTAATGAAACAAAAAACTACAATATTAAACAAGTACGAATATTAAATCTAAAGAAAACATTTTCTCCGAAAAAATGGTATAAGAAGTTTAAGAAATATGTAATAAGACAAATTCTAGTATCAATGACTGCCACTAACGAGTGCTATTCTAAATACTATTCTATAAGTATTATTGATGTAAAACATTACTGAATTTGAAATACAAGTAACAAAAATAACTAGTAAATAAATAAAATATATTATATTCGTAATATTTTTTTAAATATTGCTGCAATATTGGTAAAATAATATTGCATAATATTGCAAATTAATGTCACTGCAAAGTCTTTGCAACATTGCACTGCAATATGCAGGGTTGGGAAGTAACGCGTTACTTGTAACGACGTTACTATTTCGTTACTTTTTTTTGGTAACAATATGGTAACGCCGTTACTTTTTTGTATCAGTAACGAAAAAGTAACGGGGTTACATTTTCTTTAGTAATGAGTAACGAAATTCATCATTACTTATATCGTTACTTTTTACTATGATGGCTTCTGTACACAGAATGCGGCAACGCTTGCCACATGATGAAAGTTTGCACATGATAAACAATTAATGTGCTGCTTTCCATAAAGCCCATTCTATAAATACAATAAGCAATAAATCTTAAGTCATAATAAAATTGACCAATCATAGTCGACTATTAGAAGAATAATCTACTTTAATTGGTCAATTTTATTGCGACTTAAAATTTATTGCTTATTATAGATAGCCTCTAAAGCGTGATCTACAATGAGAACTTAAGCCATAAAATTTAAGCTTTAATCTCTAAGTCGTAAGAATTTATTTTTCTTAATTGACTGTGATTGGTCAACTTCCCTTATAGAAATATCATACTAAGAATCATTGATAATTACTTATTTGCAGTACTAAAAATACTGGATAATAAGTAATTATCAATGATTTTTAGTATGATATTTCTATAAGGGTTCTTACGGCTTAGGATTTAAAGCTTAAATTTTATGGCTTAAGTTCTCATTGTAGACCACACTTAAGGGGCGTCGCACACGAATTGACATAACAGTAACGTAAGGGCTATCGCACACAAATTGACATAACTGCATATGCATAGCATAAGACCGTATGTACCAATGAGCATCGAGTATTAAGTCGCCATATTGGTGTTCGATGCTTAATATTCAATGCTCATTGGTCCATACGATCTTATGCTATGCATATGCAGTTATGTCAATTGTGTGCGATAGCCCTAAAACGTACCGTAGACCAATCAAGAACTGACCAATCACTTTGAGTATCGTCGAACCGTAAGGTCGCCATTTTTGTGAATACTCGATTGTAATTGGTCCATTTTTACGGTACGTCCTACGTTACTGTTATGTCAATTCGTGTGCGGCGCTCCTAAAACCCATTCTACATTAGTCGCAATCGCAAGATCGCAAGGAAATTGTACCAATCATAATTGATTATTCTTCGATTGCAAGAAGAACAATCGACTATGATTAGTCAATTTCTTTGCGACCTTGCGACTTACGACTAATGTAGAATGGGTTTTATGTCGTTATGCAATAATGTGTGCTTCCCGCTTAAATATCTTATATTTTGTCTTTATATATGTATAATTTATGTACTCTTCTACTATTCGTTTTATATGCCGATTTTAACTTTTTTTTTTACAAAAGTAACGGAAAGTAACGATTTTTTTATCGTTATTTTTCAAATAACGGTAACGCGTTACTTTTTAGAGTCAGTAACGAGTAACGGTAACGAGTTATTTTTTACCGCAAGTAACGGTAACGGTAACGCGTTACTTTTAAAAAGTAACGTTCCCAACCCTGACAATATGCAATATTGCAACGTTGTAGCAATGTTGCTGCAAGCTTCTGTGCTGTATGGGTAGTGGCATATAAGAGCCTGATCACGACATAGAGACGTATGCGCGCTTTCACGCTTTACCTAAAGTAATGATATTATTCGTATTATTATAAATCGCTAATTGACTTCCATTTCCGGTGTGAGTGAGAGTGAATGTGAGATATAGGTGTGTGGAGAAAAGAAGACGAGAGAGTGTTTGAGAAGGGAGGGAAGGGAGTGTAAGGGTGAGAAGGGGAGAGGAATTGGAGGGAGTACGTGGTGAAGTGAGGGCGGGGTTGGAAGAGGTGGGAAAAGAGGGATACATAGCAAGAAAGAAAAGATGACAGAAAGAGATTAGGTCAGAAGATTCGAGAAAACGGAAAGATAAGGAGATTAGAGAGAGAGACACCTAGGGAAAGAGCAGAGAAGTAGAAGAACAGGAGAGTCGATAAGTAGGAAAGTGATAACGGATAGAGGGGATTAGGGCAAGGTAAAGGGGGTTGATAAAGAAGGATGGAAGAGAATGGAAAAGATAGAGTGACAGGGGGAGAAGGAAAAGTTATGGAGGGAAGGAGAGTAAGGATAGGGAGCATAGGGAGTACAGGAAGCTTGGAGGAGTGGGTGAAGAGGAAAAGAGAGATAGAGGAGGAGGCAGAAAGTCAGTTGGAGGAAGAAGGACACAAGTACAAAAAAGAGAGAGAAGCTAAGGGCATACAAAGGAAAGGGAGGGGGGGGGAGATTAGGTACGAGCGAGTGGAAAGAGGAAAGAGAAGGGTGGTTGAGAGAAATGAGGGAAATGATAAGGGAGATGAATAAGGAGATAAAGGAGGAATTGAAAGAGGAAATAAAGAAGCAAGGAAAAGAGATAAGAGAAGAAGTAGAAGGCATGAGGAAACAGTGGGAGGAGAAAGAAAAAATAAGGAGGAAGGAGAGTAGAGAGCTAAGGGAAAAAATAGAGAAGCTGGAAAAGAAAGCAGGGG